AGCAGTAAGAAGCAATAATGGGACAAAAGTGTACATGTGACGCGCACGTGGTATGTACGTTGCTCATCGGAGAGCAAATGAGGGATAGGGTTACCAGTCAGGTGGATCCTTTAGCTGGCACGCTAGATTACTGGTTGCGCAAGATAAAGGGACAGTGTTCAGAGCGATTAAACAAATAAAAGACTTCGAGATGTGACAACACGAGAGGTTTATTATTTATTATGCTTTTATGGAAACAGATTAATATTATTAGTAGAAATATGAGCCAGGTGTCTTCTCCCTATATCTTTCAGTCTTAATACTAGATTCTTAACTTTTGGATCAGACTCAATTAGTTCAGAGGTATAGGAGTGATCGTAAAGTTTACAGGACATACACTCACAACGTAGGTGCAGGGTGCTTACTGATCATAATTAGATGACTGTCGTGAGTCACGAGAGATTCCATAATGATAGCTGCAAGTAGCAACATCGCTGCTTCATTATTGCTACACAATCCGATGGCTGTTTAAGCTGTATTGGTGCTACAAAACAGACTGGGGTTTACCAAAGTTAGCTAAATTCAGCGAACAGAAAACAGCTTCACAACTACTGAGATCTGCTGTCTCTTAAATATAGACGTTTGTATACATTACGACATAACCACACCAAGTACGAGATCTGGTTCATCATCCCCGCCCACCTAATTTGTCTTGAGAGTTAAGTTGTGGGCGACAGCTTTCACGAACCTTCAGCTGAACACAGCTTTTACAAATCCTTTGATCAAGTGAATCTGGAGTGGATGATCATAAAAATCTTAAAATAACTGGCTACAATGAGCATTTTAGTGGAGTGGAGCGGTGGACTATTCCCTCATTTAGAGATGCAGCAAAATTAAAGGTTGCAGAGTTGATGCTTGATCAAAGTGCAAATAGATAACAGCCCATAGGCGCAGAACGAAGAAACAGGGAGGAGATTAAAGAGGAAATAGTGCTTAAGAAGTTCTGACAGCAAAGTTCCTGTATAAGAAGCAGTATTAGTTGCACAACTGACTTGAAATATAATAATTATAGAACAATTTAGTTTTTTGTTGCAGTGAAGCTGATTGCTTTCTACGTGGGTATAGGACTAGGACTAGGAACAAATATAGCGAATCTTTTTAAAGCTTGAGTGATTTTAATTCCACACATCCACGAACATATAATATAATTTCAACAAAATGTACCACGTGTAATCAAACTGTGATATCCATCAGTAAACTGTTTATTAGGCACATCTGTAATAAATACTGCTTTCCTGCACACTGCCCCATAGTTATAATACTCCCATTAAATTCTCGACCAATTCGTGAGGGCTGAAATTTCAGAGCAGTTGCAATCTTGCCAACAGTCACATCATCGTTATTAGGCTCTCTCTCTCAACAAATTTGAGAGCTGTCGAAATGCTCATTAGGGCAGTGCGACTGTAAATAGTTAAACATTTAAAAGTGTATGAACGCTAGCACAGAGGCAACGTATAAGTGTGATGGGTGCGGAATCGCACTATTGACCTAATATTGCAATTTCCGCACCATTGGCAGTGATTCTTTCCATCAGATTTGTACACTTTTTACTGCTGTGAACAATAAGAAAATATCGACATGCTCATATATGATATCTATGATTAGGGTCATAAATGTTTTTCATGACGCAACATCAAAAACATCAAAAAGAAAGCATTATAAATCAGGAATCAGAATCATCAAAAATATGTCACAAAAAGTATACGTATATAATATATAAGTAAGTAATTTTTATGTTATGAAAATTGAATTCTAAGTCCCTCTTTCCACCGCGTGTTGATCTAATTTGAGCGCCAAAGCAAATGTGGTCAAATATTACGTCACGGCTGATTACGCGGCTAAGCAATTTGATAGGTGAAATGTTGGTAGAACATGGCTGAGATACCAAATATTACGTAACGTAACAACAGCTTATATGCGGTTAAAATACAAAATATGTAGTTTAGAAATTTGCGTTTGTTTTATGCTTAGTTGTGCCTAGGAGAACTCGTTTCAGATACCCCCAGTCGACTATAAGATGGAATCTCTACCGATATTCGATGACCTGATATCACACAGTGCAAGTTCTACTATCACCGAAATATCAGAAACGACCCGATCTCTTTTGATAATTCTCACAACTGCCATTATAATTCTGGGGTTGCTAGGTAACGGGTTTGTACTCTACGCATCGCTTATCTATCGCGCCATAGACATAGATCGTGTCTCCATTATACTGATTGAAAACTTGGCGATAGCTGATTTCTTGGTGGTGATGGTTGAATTTCTACCAATGTTAATCACACTTTGTGCGGACGATTGGGTTTTGGGTCAAGTGAGTTCTTCTTCAACAACAGTTTTTATCATTTACAGTATTTAGATGTGTTTAATTAAACGCACAGTTAAAGATCAAGATATGAAACAATTAACAAATTGATGTTTGCTTGGAAAATGGGTTTTACAATTAAGTAAACACTAAAACTCCCAGCACTATAATCAGTGCATATCAGGCTATCTGCGATGTTCAGTCCTATTTCCGTTTCATTCCGTTCACTGCAGAAGCTGTTTTGGTGACGGTCCTAGCTTCATACAGGCTAGTTTCACCCTCTGCAGGGATTTCAATGAACAAATCAATGGCTTTCAATCTACATCAATCAAATTTACGAATATCACATTTTTGTTACATGATAAGATTTAGACAGTATCTTTTCAGGCTGTACATGGTACTAAGACCTCTGTCTCCCGCCCCAAGGGGCTGGTTCTACCCAGTAGTGGGTTTTGCTTGGTTACTCCCTGTACCTGCTCTAATATGGCTGGGTATCAATAAAACTAAGCCACATTTTCATCCACGAAAACTTGCGTGTACTGTTATTGGTCAGTGTTGCGACTCGCGATCATTATTTAATGTTTTTTTAAAGAGTAAATTGATAAAATAAGAGTTAATTGATAAACTGATGTTATGTTGTGGATATCTAAAATCTTTGTCCATAAACCAGATCTGACTAAAGACAATCTGAAGGAATGGCATCTAGCAGTTGGTATCACTACCCAACTACTCCCTATACTGATAACGGTTGTAGCAAACATCACACTTCTCATCACTACCGTTCACATCACTAGACGACTTAGACAAACTCTACCAAGCAAAGGTAAACATTTTCATGAAATGGTACAAATTTACAAATGTGGTTCTTTTTTTGAGAAATACAACACGGTTGTGTTGACCACTGCACTGCAATATGAAAGATTACTATTATATATATATATATATAGTCAAAGAGAAATCTAAACCCGCACATTTCAGGAGCAATCGTGATAACTATGTGGGCAAGTCTAGGTTTCATCCTGTCCTACACTCCGGAGAGCGTAAGCTGGTTTTTACAAGCAGGAGACAGGAACCTGCCTCCTTGGGCTATACTACTAGCAGTATACTGTCTTTCTATCAATGTTATCTGTAATCCTGTTATATACATTCTCAGTAATAGACGGTTCAAGCGATTTGTTTTGAAGAGATTAACCCGGAAAACAACACCTGCAATAATCCGGAACAATCGGACTAAATAACATGCTCCTAAAGGTCCTTATTTGGGTCCTTACTTGTCGTGTCCTTGTATAAGTTATTTTACTTGAAGTACAATACTTGCATCGGTGGAAATGAGGAAAACCATTATTTATCTCACCAACAAAACTACAGGACATCGTCATGCCTTTGTAAGCTGCACTCATCAGTACGTTAAGTTAATTGCGGAAGATACACTGATTGTATTCAAATGTTAAAATGTGTCACCTCGACGGTAATCAGTGATTGATCCATTTTTATTTTCTCAGCAAAAAAATAAAATGTACATCGTATTTTATCAAATGAAAAATACTCACAATGTTCAATCAACGATGTAATCAATAATGTATGATAAGAAACGATTTTCAAACCGTGTAAAACATTATCAAGTTTTAGTGGCTAATATAAAAACAGTACAGTTTGATCCTTGAGGTAAATTGTTACCTGATGCTGTAAAATTGTTATCAAAAGGTTATCGCGAGATTGTTATCAAAAGGTTATCGCGAGATTCAAAACGTATAGAATTTGATAATTAATGATGACCGGTTCACGACAGTTAGAATTTTTAACTGATATGTAGACTCTGTTGCAGTCATCGACATAAACTATACAATTTGGAAGTAATTCTTTAGTTGAAGCTGATCGCGTGTCTTTAAAGATAAGGCTAGTACGGAATGTTCCTACTTTCTTTGGGTTGAACTTGGAATGTTCCTACTTTCTTTGGGTTGAACTTGGAATGTTCCTACTTTCTTTCGGTTGAACTTAGAATGTTCCTACTTTCTTTGGGTTGAACTTGGAATGTTCCTACTTTCTTTGGGTTGAACTTGCAATGTTCCTACTTTCTTTGGGTTGAACTTGGAATGTTCCTACTTTCTTTGGGTTGAACTTGGAATGTTCCTACTTTCTTTGGGTTGAACTTGGAATGTTCCTACTTTCTTTGGGTTGAACTTGGAATGTGCCCACTTTCTTTGGGTTGAACTTGGAATGTTCCTACTTTCTTTGGGTTGAACTTGGAATGTTCCTACTTTCTTTGGGTTGACTTGAACGCACCAGGTTTCTAAACCATTTAAAACGTAACTTTGGTCGGTGCCGTTTACCTTGCGCTACTGATATTGTTAATTGTCTGGAAGTAGATGGTCTAACAAGGACATCCGTTTTGATTTCCTCATTTTCCGACAAGGTTTCATCTTTATCATTACTCCCACTTTGATGTTCAGAATTTTCGGATATGGTATCTTTTTCTCGCTCATCTTGCTCTGTAATTTCTCCACTTCCCCCACCCAGACCCAGGTTCTGTTCCTGGACATCGTTGCGACGCAACTTTTCCTTTCTAAAGGTAAGGATTTCGTCTAGCACTCCAGGCTGTTTGGATTTGCTCATGGTCATTCGTAGACTTCCTTTTGTGGAAAAATCTTTTGACTTCTTTCTCTTTTTGACGGTTTTCGTACTGAAATGCTTTGATTTTATCCTTAATCTTCCCTTAGTTACAGATTTCTTCTTAAGCTCTTTGATTTGGAGTTATTTATCTTTAAGTAGGTGCTCTATGAATATACTGATGGGCGAAAAAAGGGAAGTTGAGGGCAACTTTGGCTTTTCTTGGCCTTTTTCATAACTCACTGGATTAAGACCCATATAAATCATGGTCTCAAAGAAAACATTTGCAACTTTCTCGGAAATCATTTGTATGGTGCTACGTTTTTTAGCGATGACATCAATGGCACAGTTTAGGACTGCTATTGATATAGCTGCCTCACTGTTGGACTGTATGTTCTGTATAATATCAACAATCTTTTTTATTTGCCCATCCCACTTTATCAGATCATTACAAACATAATCTGCTTTTAATGAATTTGGTATCGCTAAGCCAAATACTGTTTCCATCTCTGAGTTGAGTAATTTTGCATAATTTTTGCCCGGATTTACCTTCTCAAGTATGTTAAGAGAATGAAGTCCAATCGATGTAGATTCTTCAGTTTTGTCTTTAAAATTGGTTATGTATTCTAGAGGAGTTTGGCTCATGTCAAAGCCTGGGAAATCTTTCTCTGAATTAAGGAACTTTCCTACTTGCACGATGCATGATATGAGCTCTTTTAAAGATCGAGATGTTCTTATTTCTGCACATGCCGTAACCACATTTTTGAGGTAATCAAGATATTTCTCCTCCTTTTCAACCACAAGATCTTGATACATTCTGACGATCTGCATGTATGTGGTAAAGTTTGGTATCTGGTGTAGCTGATACAGATACATATCTTCCTCAGAACTCAATTTAGAAGAGTCAAGTTGTTTGTCCAGTAGCTGTGGCATATAATTTCTACCCTTCTTGTCACTTTCAGCAATTTTGACCATCTCTACAAGAAATTCAAGTTGGTTTCCCATTTTCTTAAAAAAATTTTTCAGAGGAAATTTGGACATCCAATCTTGTATCTTTTTTGATGAGACGTTAACCATTTTCTTTCTCATTATGCCTATGGCTCTTTGGTCGTCTCCATTCAATATTCTTATCATGTCCCTATGGTCGCTTTCCTTTTCGGGTACTTTTTTAATTGATTTTGACGCAGCCTTTTCTGCAAAACTTGTCGAAAGAAAACTTTGGTGCTCTTCTATATCAATTTGTGGGAGTCCCTGCCAAAATGTCTTATGAACCTCCATGACCCCTTTCGGAAATCTTTTAAATTTTTGATTGATCATGCATTGGGCATTCCTATCTTTGGAAAGTTTTCTCCAATGAATCTTGGACATCTTTGGGATTTCACTTTGTAAGTCCGTTGCATCAGTTGATGTCACATTAGGAGCTATCGGTGCATTTGGAGCCGGTGAAATTGGTGGTGCATTAGGAGCCGGTGGTGCTTTTGGAGCTGGTGGTGCTTTTGGAGCCGGTGGTGCCTTTGGAGCCGGTGGTGCCTTTGGAGCCGGTGGTGCATTAGGAGCCGATGGTGCATTAGGAGCCGGTGGTGCATTAGGAGCTGGTGGTGCTTTTGAAGCTCGTGGTGCCTTTGGAGCCGGTGGTGCCTTTAGAGCCGGTGGTGCATTAGGAGCTGGTGGTGCATTTGGGACAAAGGGCGTGTTCATTTCCTCGTTGAGAGTTTCTGGATTCATTATTATCTGATAGAGGTTTGTTTCTTTGATGTAGCTACAAACTTCAGTAGCTTCTTCTTTTCCGATGAGACGCTTCTGAAACAGTAATAAGTGTGCGATTAAATGATGATGATGAAAATTTAATATATATAATGGCTACAGTGAGCATTTTAATAACAATATTAATTCAATCCTAAAATGTGCGCGTTCAACACCGTTAACAATTACTGCATCACTGCAAGGTTACTTTGCAATTTCTTATTTTTCATCTAATTTGCACGTGGGCGGTCGTACAGCAGAAAGAATTCTATGAATTATAGTAGAGTAGACTAGAAAGCCCGTGATCACAGGAAGGTAATAATATTCTTTGGTAATCAGTTTTCATAATTATAGCATCAAAAATATCCGTAACGACCGAGTATACAGCCCATTAAAATGTAGCTTGCACTGAAGTCTGAACACAACGTAATTACCACAAAACCGATAAAAATGACGTGAAAACAATCATTGCACGTGCGTGTGCACCTTTCAACACCATTACCATGGTTACTTTGCAACTACCTATTTTTCGCCTAATTTGCACGTGGATAGTCGTACATACAAAAAAATCTTTCGAACTATAAATAAGACTAAAAAGCCCGTGATCACAGGAAGGAAGATAATATTAGTTTTTATCGCATCAAAAAATATTTGTCACTACCGAAGATATAACACAGCCAATTAAAATGTAGCTTGCACTGAACACAACTTAATTGCCACAAAACCGATCAAAATGTTGCTCGCAAATCTCTGCATGTGCACGTGCGCGTTCAACGCTGTTACCATGGTTACTATGCAACTTCCTATTTTTCACCTAATTTGCACGTGGGCGGTCGTACAGACAAAATATTTCTCAATGGGTGGTTGTACAGACAGACAAAAATAATTCTTTGAATTATAATATTTCGCTGGATTGTACAACTTTCGTCTTGGTAGATTCCAAACACAAGGAAATTTTCCTTCTGGTTGGTAATATACTCAATGATGGGAGTATAGTGTATTGGCTATGCCCCGCTTACTAGTTTAGCTCTTTCTAGTCCCCTGCTACACGGCATGTAAACAGGGATTGGCTAGTTAGAGGCGGTCCGTGTAGGCCTTACACTGTGCTTTCAGCAATACTCATAGATAATCTTACTTATAATTCAAAGAATTATTTTTTCTGTAGCTGTACGGCCCACGTGCAAATCAGATAAGAAATAGAAAGTTGCATACTATAGTAACCATGGTAACGGTGTTCAAAAGCGCAAGTGCACGTGCAATTATTGTTGGTGCAACATTTTGATTTGATTCACGATGTCAAAAATACACCCATTCCGATCACTTTCATGCCCAAAGGGCCTTTTCACAAGAATTTTCTTTGGGCGAGCGATTTAGTGAAAACAGAAAAGGCCCTTTGTGCATGAAAGTGATCGGAATGGGTGTATTTTTGGACGCTGATTCCGAATCACCCCCATGACGTAGGGTTTTTAGTTTAAATGCTTTCCTGGAGAGTTATGGGCAAAAACCCGTTCGCGTTTTCACCGGTTTTGGTCACGTGACAGGCTAGTCAAATACGAATTCGATTGTTTAGGACTCGGGTTACTTCCGTTAAGGTTAGGGTTGTGGTAAGGGTTATGGTTAGTTTCGGGGTTATGGTTAGGGTTAGGGTTGGGATAAGGGTTTATGTAAAACCGTTTTGTACGGCTGCAAAACCATAAAATTAAAAACCAAAGTCACGTGAAATTTTTGGGCGAACGAATTAGTATGAGCCCATCGCGCTGCCGCTACAACATTTTGATCGGTTTTGTGGTAATTACGTTGTGTTCAGTGCGAGCTACATTTTAATCGGCTGTATCTTCGGTTGTGACGGATATTTGTTGATGCTTATATAAAAACTGACTACCAAAGAATACTATTAGCTTCCTTCCTGTGACCACGGGCTTTCTAGTCATCTTACTTAAAATTCAGAGAATTCTTTCTGTCTGTCTGTACGACCGCCCTCGTGCAAATTAGATGAGAAATAGGAAGTTACATGGTAACCATGGTAACGGTGTTGAAATGTGCACGTGCACGTGACGTGCAAAGATTGTTAGAACGGCATTTTGATCGGTTTTGTGGTAATTACGTTGTGTTCAGTGCTAGCTACATTATAATCGGCTGTATCTTCGGTTGTACTGACGGATATTTTTTGATGCGATAAAAACTGACTACCAAAGAAATATAATACTATCAGCTTCCTCCCTCTGACCACGGGTTTTCTAGTTAAATTATAATTCAAAGAATCATTCTGTCTGTCTGTACGACCACCCACGTGTAAATTAAAAATAAACGAGAAATAGGAAGCTGCATAATATTAATAACCATGGTAACGCTGTTGAAACGCGCACGTGCAATGATTGTTTGTTGTTGGAACGGTTTTTTTGATCGGTTTTATTGTTATTAATATTACGTTGTGTTCAGTGCGAGCTACATTTTAATCACCTTTATATCGGCTGAATCTTCGGTTGTGTGACGGATATTTTTTGATGCGATAAAAACTGACTACCAAAGAATACTATTAACTTCCTCCCTGTGACCACGGGCTTTCTACTTTCTAGTAGTAGTATAAACAAAAAGAAATGCAATCATTATTGCCAGACAAAGAGTAGCACATTTTACTTAACTTTTAGATTTTTCGGTCTTCGTGAAAATATAGCATTTTATAACTTAATTAATAATCGCAAATTCGGACAGCTCTTACCCATATTTTGTGGCTTGATGCTATCGCAGTCAACTGGTCGGAACTTTCCATTGCTTTCCGTTAAAATTGACAATTTTTGTCATTCAAAATATACAAGGCTTCAAGTTCAATCGTCAAGCAATAAATGTACAATATCGGTACTATATTTCAACGTTAAGAAGCGATTATATGGATCATTCTGTCTGATACCGTTCTAGTATTCGTATAGAATAAATGTTATGCCCAAGGTCTACTAGTACTAATAGTTCAATTTTGCCTGCAATTTGACACTCCGGTCTCCGCCCCACTCATAATTTTGCCAGTCGCCACGTCATGCAACTTTACAACAGAATTTAACACTATTATAAGATTAAGATAAAGAGCTGACGAGATCTGAATCTCGTCGCTGCAAGATCTCGTCGATGTGTTCGTTGTATCTAAACTCATCTAAAGCATCACCCATATCATTTACATTCCACAACCTTGCAACGGCTAACGGCCCAGATGGGATTCCTAATGAGCTTCTCAAGTATTCTACTGGATCAGTACACAGACGTTTTGCAGACATTATCAATAGAAGCTTCGAGACCAATTCCTACCTTGACCCCATTGGACAGGCAAACATTACCCCCTTACAGAAGCCAAATAAGCCCATTGGTCCAGTGAAGAATCTACGACCCCTCACTCTCTCAAATGCTGTTAGAAAGATTCTTTCAATGGCAACCTTGAAGAGAATTGAGAATAAAGTCAATGCCTTCACTGGTCCATGGCAATGTGCTTACAAGCAGGGTAGATCATGTGCTGACATTGTATGGTGCCAGCGTGTGATGTTATCAGTTGTCCAGAGGAAGAGGTGGGAATACCATCGTATGGGGATCGACATGTCTAGTGCCTTTGACACTATACGACGATCTACCATCCTCGATCTTCTTGTTGAGTGTGGCTGTGATGATGACGAAGTCCGTTTGGTAAGACTTTTGCTTTCCAAAACCAAGCTCAAAGTCAACATCAACGGTACACTGTCTGCTGAATTCCAGAGTTTTCTCGGTGCATTCCAAGGTGACTGTCTGTCTGGATGCTTGTTCACACTTGTCTTAGCGGGTGCCTTGCGTGACCTCCGTAACAGGCTTGAAACTGCAACGAATAGGCCTAACCCACCTATCACCGATATTGGTCTTCCACTTGACAGTGAGTATGCTGATGATATCGACTTCAATGATGAAGATGAAGACAATTTGAGGGAGCTGTTGCCTATTGCAACAGAAGTCCTTAAAGATTGGAATCTCTTCGTTAACGAAGACAAAACTGATTTCACTCATGTGTACTTAGCTGAAAAGGGAGCTAAAGACGATCAGGGTAAGCCAATTGCAGGGAACGAGCTCTGGAGAAAGAGTATCACGCTTGGCTCCATGCTTTGTAGTAAGGAGGACATCTCTAGAAGGATATGTCTGGGATATGCCGCGTTTAACAAATACAAGAAAGCTTGGAACCATAAGATCCCTCTGAGCAAGAGGCTTCTGTTGTATGAGGCTCTGGTAGTATCCGTTTTAATGTACAATTCATCTTGCTGGGCTGCCCCTAAATCAGTATTGGAAAAACTAGATATTGCTCACAGACGTCATCTGCGATCAATTTTGAATTACAAATACCCTCACATCATCTCCAACAAGAACTTGTATAAACGCTGCAATAGTGAACCATTGTCAGCTAAAGTGGCTCGTAGTCGGTGGAGGATGCTCGGACATGTACTGCGTGGGCCTACAGATGGCCCAGCCTATTCGTCGCTTGTTTTTGCTGTCAACACCTTACAGCTTCAAGGGCGGCGTGGAAGACCGCAGTCAAACCTTTTCTCACTGATTCTACACGACCTTAGTGTCCGAAAATTATCGTTAAATAATTTATGTGATTTGGACTATTTAACGTTAATTGCTCAGAATAGAGTTAAATGGAGAAGTATGCAAATTGCATGACTTTTGTTTGAGAAAGATTAGGGGACAGAAATGTTTACTTTGTTTACTATCTGTTTCTTAGAGCTTTTGTTTATATATAAATAAAAATGTGACAAAATGATGGTTAAAAACAATCAATTAATATAGTAATATGTAGTATCTTAGACTTAAGTAATTATATTGTGTCCCCAGATTAACGATAACATACGAAAACTTATTTAAAATTCTCAAATAATAAAACCGCTGTCAAATGTTCCAGATATTGTCAATAATTCATTTGGTATCTCTTTCACGACTACTGAGTTTGCCGAACCAGAAGATGTCATGGTGGAGGTGAGTCGGCCCTCTTATTCTTCAATTCAGCAATTAGATGCTTCCTGATCAACTCTCATGACACGCTCATCATTGGATAGATCATGACAGATTGATATATTTTTGCGGGTATCAATCTGTTTTCATCAAAAGCTGACGAACAGCGGTAGAGCTCGAGAGTACAAGCACCTCCGTCTTGAGGCACTCGCTAGTCTCCAACATGATACTGATCAGCTGTTCTGACCGCTTAACAATTTCAGGCTGGACCCTGATATCTGGCTCATTTTTATGAGATCAGTTAGTTCTTGGTCCCAAAGGAAAAATCTGCAACCCTAACAATTTCCTGCTATGCACCAGAAGTCATAACATATAATACCAAGCGCTAATAATAATATCCTAAATCGGAATACTAAAGATAAGTGTGCTTTATCTACAGGACACATGACCAATTTAGACTGAATATCCCGCCAATAATAATATTCTTTTAATACTTTCAACACTACTATATAACAAATAATTTGAGGATTTGGAATCTTACTTCAATACTACTGTATAGTTTTTCTCAGAACTAAAGAGTTTGGAAATCCGAGTCTGGTCCTCAGTACTTGACAGGGTATTATGGCGGATATGAAGTTGAAGAAGAAACTGGAGATAGAGTTGGAGAAAATCAACTCCTCCCTTAAGGTAAGAATATCTGAGTGTGATGATGTTAAAAAGTGTACTAATACAAAGGAGGGCATTTGGCAGTCCCTAAAAATGGCGTACAATTTAGCTGAAAAAGCAATCGAAGCTCTGTCTTGCCCACAAGAATCCAGTACACATGCACAGGTTTTAGCTATTGTAAGAGAGGAACTAGCTTCTACACTGCCACATATTATTCAGGAGAGCTTGGCAACAGCTCAGTCAGGTTATTCTGATGTGAAGTCTATGCATACTGAGAAGGTCAGGCACACTCTAGTGGTTGAAAAGAAGTCTGAGGACTTGGGACCTGATGGAGATAATAAAATCTCGGGTGAAGAATGGACAACAGTTGTGAAAAAGGATCTTAAGCGAAAACTGAGCAATATTCCTGTAGTTAGGGCTAATCCCCCTAAAACTGAAGGTGTTGCCAGACTGGTGTTCAAATCCAAAGAGGATCTAGGTCATGCAGAAGAAGCGCTTAAATCCAAATATAATGTCACATCTAAGTCGGAAGAACTGAGGAAGCTTAATCCAAAGATAACTATCTCAGGCCTTGATGCAGACATAAAGACGAAAGAAGAGCTAGTGGAGGGTGTCCTGAAGAAGAATGACACTATCAAGACCCTGATGGATAATGGTGATGAGTTCAAGGCTGTCTTTATGGATGACAAGGATAGGTTTGCCGTTTTGCAGGTTTCACCGGCTATAAGGGAAGTTATCAAAAAGGCTGGAAACAGGATCTGTCTGGGATTGGAAATGTACCCTGTCAGAGACAGGTATCACGTTATACAGTGTTATCACTGTCAAGGTTTTGGTCATACAAGTGGATCCATATACTGCAAGTCCAAAGACTCAGACCCAACATGTTTCTACTGTGCAGGAAGCCACAAATCGAAGGACTGTATTAAGAAGAAAGAGAAACAGACAGGGGACATACGATGCACAAACTGTTCACATAGCAAGAATCGATCAGAGAAATCTGATCCAAGACACAAGGCTTCAGACACTCTTTGTCCGTTTTATGTCAGAGAAAAACTGTGGGTCATGTCCAGAACTCACTCATCAAGTGATGCAAAAAACTCCTACCAAATCAGGGTAAAGGAGCTCATGACAAAGAGAACAAAAACCTAAGGGTTTGAACCTTTAATGTCAGATCGCTTGTAAATAAGACAGTGGGAGTGATGGAGCACCTCAATGATCAGAAATGTGATGTTTGCTTTGTCCAGGAAACGTTTCTTAAGGAGGCAGATAGTGTAAAGATTCAAGAGATCAAGAGTTATGGCTGGGAGATACTATCAAATCCTAGAAAACACAGAGGTGGAGGAGGTATTGCTTTCCTTTACAGACCAGAAATAACCTTAAAAGTTAATGAAAAGGTAACTAAGTACAAAACGTTCCAGGTTATGGAAGCTTTGCTCCAATCTGAGACTGAGACAGATTCGATTCGCCTTGTGAACATATACAGGCCTCCTTATACAAAGAAAGCTAGATACACGGAATGTATGTTTCTAGAGGAGTTCGAGAGCTACCTAGATGACTTAAGTACCAAGACTGGTATCCCTCTTCTGATGGGAGATTTCAACATTCACATGGAGCGTCCTAATGATTTGTACCCTATGAAATTGGTAAGACTTCTACAAGACTATGACCTTTATCAAATCATGCCTATTTATATTGTACCAACGCATGAACAAGGTGGTACAATTGACCTTATACTCTCTACAGAAAACCTTAGGTCCAGAATGGGCCCAGTTTCTGTGACCAAATCAGGAACATCCTCCGACCACTTTCTGGTTCATTTTGATTTAGGGTATCACTGCTGTAAGAAACCCAAGACGATTTGGAAAAAGGTTAACTACCGAAATTTTAAAGATCTTGACAAAAACATTTTTAGAGAAAGTTTGAAGAACTCATCTCTGTGCCAAGGAAACTTTGACTGGTCACTAGACGAAGCTGTTACACAGTACAATGAGGTTCTTTCGAGCCTTATGGAAACCCACTGCCCAGAAGTGGACAGGAAAGTGAAAGCTAATGAAACGCCTTGGATTGATGAAGAGCTGAGAGAAGTGAGAAGAAAGAGAAGAAGAGCAGAGAGAGCTTGGAGGTCTGGAAAAGGACTTAAATCAGCGTACGTAGGACTTCGGGATAAATTTCAGGGTATGGAGTTTGAAAAAAGAAAGGGATACTATAGAAATTCTATCACAGCTTCATCAGGTGATATTAAATCCCTTTACAAGAAAGTCAATCGCTTGTTGGGTAATTCTCAGACAAGTATGCCATCTGGAAATCCCAAGGAAGTTGCAGATGATCTCAAAGCTTTCTTTTCTGGAAAAGTGGAAAACATTCGGTCCTCAATTGAAAACCTTCGTGATGTACCGGCTGAACCCCAGGAAAACCCAAGAGATGATAAAAAAGAGTCAAAGTTAGAGACTTTTAAAGCAGTAGAAGTGTCCGAGATGGAAACCCTGGTGAAAAGTATGTCAAATAAGTTCTGTGACTTAGATCCAATACCCATGTTTCTCCTGAAACACTGCATTAAAGAACTAGCACCATTTCTCTGCTACATCGTCAACCTTTCCATTGAAACTGCTAAGTTTCCATCAGATCTTAAGAGAGCAGTGGTCAGACCCACCCTCAAAAAGGATGGAGCAGATCCTGACTGTCTAAAAAACTATAGACCAGTTTCAAATCTCCCGGTTATGTCCAAGATCCTTGAAAAGTACATACTCAGTCAACTCAATGAATACTTGGATGCAGAAAATCTTCATTGTCCAGTTCAGTCTGGTTATAGACCAAAACATAGCTGTGAGACTTTATTAGTGAAAATGACATTCTTGGGGAAATCGAGCAGGGTAGAATTGTGACACTGGTCCTGCTAGACCTTTCAGCAGCTTTCGACACAATAGATCATAAGATACTTATCAGAAAACTCTTAGCTGATTTTGGAATCTCAGGTAAAGCTAACAGCTGGTTTGAGGATTATCTTCATGCAAGATCGTTCAATGTCAAAGTTGGTCAGGAGCTATCTGATGTAATGTGTCTTCTTTTTGGAGTGCCTCAGGAATCTTTGCTTGGACCGATTCTGTTCATCCTGTACATCAAACAACTTCAGAAGATAGCTGCTAAATATGGGATTCGTATTCAGCTATATGCAGATGACTCGCAGCTCTACATTTCTTTTGAACCCCTAATACCTGGAGAAATAAGTGAAATGAAAATTAAGATCAATGCCTGCCTTGACGAAATAAGGGCCTGGATGCTTGAAAATTATATGAAACTTAATGAGTCAAAAACAGAGCTACTAGTCATTGGGAAGCCTTTGGTTCTTAGAGAATTTGGACAGCATCAAATTTCTGTTAATTTTGGGAGTACGGAAGTGATGCCAACAGAATGTGTCGGTGACAATTGGAAGAGTTTAGGAGTCAAACTAGACCCAGCTCTTACCATGGAAAGACAGCTAAACAGTGTTAAACAGAAGTCAATGTGGGCATTAACCAATCTGAAGAGAATACGATGTTATCTTGATGAAAGTTTAAAAGTTATGCTAGTGAAGCAACTGGTTATATCAAAGCTTGACTACTGTAATGCACTGTATGTTTGCCTACCGATGAAGTCACTGAAAAAGCTCAAATATGTACTGAATGCTGGAATACGATTCATTTATAACATCGATGACCGTGATGTAGATCTTCTTGAATACTACAAAAAAGCACACATTCTCCCCATTGAAGAACGAATAAGTTTCAAGATTTGTCTTCTGGCGTATAAGGTTATGTACAGCCAAGCACCACCATATCTGTCTGATCTTCTTCAGATTGACTCCCAGGCAGCATATTCTAAAACACGGCAACTGTCTGGTGATGACTTAAGGTTTAGGGTTAGTAGACCCAGTAAAATCAGGCTAGGTGATAGGAGGTTTAGCAACGCAGCCCCAAAACTCTGGAACTTGCTACCGTATACGGTAAGAAAGGCCAACAACATTGATACTTTTAAACGGGCTTTAAAAACCCATTTTTTCAATCATTTAGAACATACCTAGTCGTATTTATATTTGTGTTCTTTTTTAGAAAGTTCCTAGAACCTGGCCTTAGTTTGTAGATTATTCCATGGGATTTTTTAACTGCCATGAGTTTTGTGTATAGTTACACTTACACGGAGTCCGGAGAGACTAGACTGCCATTTGCCATGCCCTGGCTTGTTTTTATTTTCTATTTTTATAACCTGTATCCTTGGCCGGTACCACATGATTGCAGAGTTGGTAGCACATGCTTCGGCAATCTACCTGTACCTCAGTGAACCGGTGGGTGAACGGCAGCTTGCTTGCAAGCTGTTGGGTACAGGGTGATGTAGTGTGCGAGTTCCCTTAATTGGGTGCGACAATACTCAGGGAAATCGGACTGGGGATCCGTCGGCCTGGTCTACTACCTTGAGCAACTCATTAATTGATTGTGTGGTATTGTCGGGGATGCAGGCCACAGTTTGTGTTTGTTGTTTTGATCTACAAATAAAGAAGAGTGTATAATGAAGTTCATTTAATTAAATTCTTTTGAATAAATAAAGGTAACCATTATGTGTCGAGATTATTATTTTT